CCCCAAAACCCCAAAACCCCAAAACCCCAAAACCCCGCAATAAGTATAATTGAAGAATATATGAAATCAAATTAAGAAATTAAAAATGATACAGCCAGTTTCAATATTGCCAACTTTCAAGCATTTCAGTAAGAAGGTAGGAGTCAGATATAATCAAAACTTTCACAAAGACATTATTGAGCTAAGTTAAGTCAATTTTTATCCTATTCTTGAAGATCCATTGTCAAATTCCTTTCGGAGATAATCATTATCAAATAATGCTCAGAGTCTGTCCCTAACAGGGAGACCATCTGTTATTAATTCCCCAAATAAGAGTCAATCTCCAAGAAAATCTTCAATAAGGAATACGAAAAGAATGTCTACCTTGCCTGAAAGTTTAAATAATTAATTGGAAAAGCAGTAAAGTCAAAATTAAACAAAGTAAAGCGTTAGATTTAGCAAGGTAGAAATTTTGGATTAGAAATAGCCTGACAAGCAGCGAATGTCTCGATAAGAATCCATTCAAAGTGTAAATGGAAACAACTCTACTAGTAATAATTCAAGAGCTTCAAATATTCCAAGAAAAAGTAGCCTTGGAAGAAAGTCTTCTTAAAAAAAGTCAAATGTAGATTTAAAGTTTGATGCAGTAAGAGAGGAATCAAGCAGCGATACATCATCCATGACTAGCGAAAGTGAAGACGATTCTACAAAGAAGAGATCATAGAAAAATAGCATTAAAAGTGCGAATGATGCATTGAATGACAAAAGCAGAAGAGAGACCTCTTATAATGATTTCTATTAGATACAAGAAGAACCCCCATCTAAAGAGTAAACTATATCTGACAGTATGAGTAAATAGTAAGATGAAGAGGATTCGCATAGTCAAAATGAAGATGAAGAAAATGAAATGGACTTCTAAGATGAAAATAATGGAGATGAATCTACTTAAGAAAATCAAAATGAAGATAATAAGAATCGAAAGTAGAAAGCATCTTTGAGATTTAGTAAATTGCTTTCGCAACAAGATGATGTAGCATAATTGCTTGAGGTAGTTCAAAAGCAACAAAATGATCTAATGGAATACTTTACACTGAAAAGGAAGCAATCGGAGGTTTCAATGAGTAGTCATTAAAGTGATTAGATTGAGGTGGATGGTAAAATTGAAACTATCTTTAAAATGCTTGGCATTTAATCTGATATGATTAATCAAAAAGATGAGAGTGGAAATCAGGTTACTTAAAATGAGTAAATACTTAAGCAAAATGTTTCTAATGATAATGATACAGGTATGCTTAAGAGGTTCTCATAAGGATTTTCTTAAACATCAAGTAGATAATTTCTAGGGTTCGGACCTATGCTAGACTGCCCATCATTGATCTCAGAACAGACTAATGAAGATTAATCAAGTTCTTATAACAGCAAACAGAATATTGATAAAATATCTCGTTAGCAAGCTTAATCTATGATTGCAAATTAAAACAATGACATCTAGAATTAACTCGAACTTATCAATAAAGAAATAGCCTCCACAACTCATAATCTTAAATCTAGTTCTCATGCTTAACTTCCTTCAAGTGCTTCTTAGAAACAAGAATAGTCAATCTCTGAAGTGACAGATCTAGAGAAGTAACTCACTTAATTGCAGCTAAAGAAGTAGTAGCTGTAATTTGAGCATTAATAGAGATTGCTTTAATAGTAAGCTTTTGCAAATATTGATCTCAAAAGACTCCAGATGGAAATACTTCAAAATGAGGAGAGGCATAATAAATAATTATATGATGAATAGCACAAGAACAAGTTGCTCATCAATTAAAATTAGAGACTGCTTGGTGAATTAAAAGCTTCTCATGAAGTTTCAAAGGAGCAGGAGATCAAGATTGAAAAATTCTTATCTCTCATACAAGACTGTAATTTTGAATCCACTAATATATTTAGTCAAGTTAAAGATATAAGAGAAAGATGAAAGAGTTGAGAGCTTTAAAAGACGTTATAAAGAATGCAAAGGCAAATACTCAGATTTGAAAAACAGAATAGATGAGATGCTGATCAAGAAAAACGAAGAAGCAAAGCAAAAACGTGAAAAGAAAGATCTTAAAATTGAAAATGAATTTCTTCAGCACTAGATATATACTTTATAAAATGTAAGAGTAATCGGCATTATTTTATTCCTAGGAATTGTCAATTGAGAAAAGAGAAAAATTGTAAGCCAACGAATATCAGCAGAAAATAAAGTACTATGAGGGCATCATTGAAGATTTGTCTTATGAAAATGCCAAGCTAGTAATTAGATAGTAAAAGCTTACCGATATTAATCAAGAGAAAGATAAATTAACTAAGGTTCTAGACAAATTCAAAATCATCAATGAAAAGTATGCTCATTTAAATGTAACTTTTCAGAATATCTAAGGAGTGCGAAGATTACAAGCATAAGTACGAAGTGTCTGAGAAACTGAGAGTCCAACTAAAAGAATTTTTCTCAAAAAATATTTAAAAGCAAGCCGATTAAGAGCTTAAAGTGTCTAATTATGAGTAGATCATCATGTCACAGAGTATTAGTTAGGATAAAAGCAAATTAAATTTGACTGAGAGTATAGATAACAATAGCATTGGCTTGAATCTTAATCAACAGCAAAATGACTCAATAGCAAATGAAAGAAGTCTAGATTACTTTACCAGTAAATATTTAGATAAATACAACTCAAAGACCTCAAATATCTCTAATAATCAAAACTAAACTGCAAAGTTGAATAATTAAAGCTTGGTATCATCTACTAACTACTAAGGGAATGCAAAAACAAGAAATAACAATCAAATGTATCAATAAAATATTCAAAATGAGAGTAAGCCCTAGTAATTAAAGCAAACTATAACCAAAGAGAGTAATAAAATTACTAGTCCTCTAAGGCAAGCTTAGAATCTTTATGGGGCTTTCTAAACTCAGACTAGATTTCAAGATAATGAAACAATCAGTCTTAGAATTCAGAGCAAGAACTAAAATATAATGAATCAAAGCCAAGATGGCTAAAGAAGAGCAGGAGCAGCTCCCAGGACTTATAATTATTAATTTACAAATGACAGGCAGGATATCATTAAAGTAGACGACCAAAGAGCAAATGAATAAATAAGGGATGCAGCCAGCAAATAGTAGTCTAGATTCATAACTGATGATGATGAAGATAGTGATGATATCTCTAGGGATGAGCAGTTTAATGCAAATGTCCCTGTATTCTCATTTAAGCTTTCTTGAAACAAAATGAATACGTAGAAAACTCAATTATGAAAGTATCGATGAATATTGTAGAATAAGTTGTGATAGATAAAAAGTTATAAATTAATCTTAAATCATAAATTTAATATTGGAACTTAAGGAATTTTAAGAATGACAATCTGACGGGGTTTTGGGGTTTTGGGGTTTTGGGG